ATGCTTGGGTGCCAGGACCTGGAGTGCGGACTAACTGGTGGCCCCTCCAGCCTTCTCCATGACGGTGACATGGGGGTGCTCGGTTCTCCTGGATCACTGCCGTCAGGGCTATGCTTTGAAGATGGCGGAGAACTGACTCTTGCAGAATGCCGCTCCCTTTGGGCCTTGTCTTTAGCCTTTTGTGTAGAGTTCCTCCTAAAGGCTCCAGGCTCTTTCCTCAGAGTGGGCAGGGGAGGGAGAGGCCTAGAGAGGGCAGGGCTGCTGTTCTCAAGAGCTCCCCAGGGAACTGTGTCTCTTTTCTCGGCCGACCGGGGATCCTAGTCTCCTCCCCTAGCAGTAGCGTGCTGGGGGTTTGAGGTCTGGGAGATTGGGCTTCTGGGGTCTGCGAGGGGAGGCAGGGGAAAGGGGGAGGAAGGCGGGAAATAAGGACACGCGTGAGGGGTATCAGGAGCAAGCTGGACTCATGTCTGGCCTAAGATGCCCTGAAAGTGCAGTAAGGGGGGGAGACAGACTGAGGTTTGGAGGTAGGGTGTCCAGAGCCTGTGGCAGGCCAGAACTGGGGTACCCCAGGGCTGGCAGTGATGGGAGCGGCATGGTGGAGTAGCAAGGAGGTTGGCGGAGGCTCTAGGCCTCCGGAGTTTGGGGGTCACTCATGGGTTGCTTTTCTTGGACCCCCGAGAACCTGATGTGCATCCTGGCTAGGCATCGCCACTGACTGGGGCCAGGGAGGATTTCTTGGAAAAGAATTCAGAGGCTCCAAGCACGGCTGGTCCATCCCTCCGGCCACCTCGTTCCTCGTTTCTGCCCAGGTACCAACCCAAAGCTGCCTAGTCAGACTCTAAATTCTGCGGTAAGGAGCCCTGTGTCAGGCTGACAAGGAAAAACAAGAGGGAGAGAAGAGGGGGCCAGAGAATGTGGAGCCCAAATGAGACTCGAGATAAAGCAATTACCTGATCAATACCAGTGAAATTGAGTAATCCAGCCGATCAATACCACGGGCAGGCACTCGGGCGCTCCTGCTCTCAGCCTGCCGCTATCTTCCCGTCGCCCTCTTAGAAATTCATCTGGCGGTCCACCTCCCACCCCAGCTTTTACTCCTTGGGCTCCTGAAGTATCACCCCTGCCTCCGACCTGGGTCAGCTGCCAACCTGTCCAGACTATCTCCACCATAGCTCCTCACTAACTCTTTCCTTCTGATGGGTCCCACTCTCAACAACTACCTTCTGGGGGCATGCCTTCCCGGGCTCCTCCATGTCCCTCATCTCGTCACACCAGGGGCTAGAGCCTAGGTTGCCTGGGTAGTGAGAACCAGTTGTGCCAATACCTCTTATTTCGTTCTGTCCTGGGAGCACAATCCTCCATACAAAGCCCTGCCCGTAGGCTAGTGCTGACTGAACTGGACTCTGAGGGCAGGCAGGGGACTGGGAGGAGGCCCTGGGCCCCACTCATCCAAAGGTGCTTGTAGGGGCTGCAGTGCGGGTGCCAGCACTGAGGGACGTTCACCCATCTGGGGGCTTCCAGTATGTAGGCGGGGACTTGAGGGCTGTGGTGTCTGAGATGGGGTGAGGGCATGGAAATGCCCTCCAACCGTGGGAACAGCCGAGCTCCTGTCTCAGTACTGAAAAGTCTGTGGCAACCCAAAGAGTCGCAGCTTTGAGGGTGTGTGTGTAGAGGGCTGTCAGTGGAGCAAGGCTTGGACTTGGAGATCACTGTTGACCTTGGGCAGTTCCCTTAGCCTCCCTGCTCTTTGTTTTCTTCATTGCCACGGTGGGGATAACAATGGCTCCTTTCTGCGGCCAGAGATTCCAGATTAGCCTCTGCTGTGACCCTCCTGGGAGAGAGGCCAGTGAGTTCCCGTCTCACTGGTCTTCGGGACTCGGGTCCTGAGGCGTGCACACACTGGTCCAGTCTTAGAGGCTGGAGGTGGAGCAGGCTTAGGGAACTGACAGACAGGACTGAGAGGGGGCCAGCTGCCTGCTGTTTGTCCTAGACCTTCACCTCTGTGGTTTGGGTGGCATCTCCTGGGTTTCTGGTGTGCACCCCATTGTCTGCTGACCTAATCCCTAGACAACTGGAGCTGGGGTGAGAGCTGGGGGTGGGGCTTCTGTCTCCTTTCAACATGGGACCATCAGTGTTCCCCTGGGGTAGGTAGAGGTGGGTAGGTGAAGGTGTAAGATTGCCTGCTCTTCACATGGGACCGTCAGTGTCCCCTGGGGTAGGCAGAGGTAGGTAGGTAGGTGAAGGTGTAAGATTGCCTGCTCTTCACATGGGACCATCAGTGTTCCCCTGGGGTAGGTAGAGGTGGGTAGGTGAAGGTGTAAGATTGCTTGCTCTTCTGCATTCTGGAAATGCTTTGGTATTTGCCTTCTTTTCTTCTTCCAAAGTCTCCCAGCTTCTGAAGCCTATGTGACCGGAGGGAAACCTCCGCAGGTGCTGAACATTCCAGCAGCATCCCTGCTAAGGTCTCAACTCCAACCCGAAACACCTGGCCTGACATCTAAAGAAGGCGCGAGGCTGGCTTGCCCAGCGCGTTCTGATTGTCTGCTTCTTGGCTGAAGGGAGGGAGGAAGTGTCTGCAGCAGGCAATGCGTGATAGTATGAGTTCTGGAGCCAAGAAGCCTTGGCTCGGGTTCCTACCTTTACTGGCTTTAGGTTTCACTGTGAGTGTGCTATTCACTTGTGTGTGTGTGTGTGTGTGTGTGTGTGTGTGTGTGTGTGTGTGTGTGCTTCACAGTGTGTGTGCAAATTCCTGTCTGTAGCAAGCTGGTGCTATCCGCCTCTTCTTGAGCAGTGTTAAGCGTAAAGCACGAAGCTCCACAGAGGATGGAACCATGAGGCCAGGGCTGCTCTGTTTGAGTGCCGAGTGCCTGTGCATCATTTACCATCTTAGCACCACTGTGAACACAGGGAAATGGAGGCCCACAGAGCTCGACACTGCCCAAGGTGTCTGAGCTGTCAGGCTGGCAGAGGCAGGAGAGTTCCTGCTCCTAGGAGGGGAAGGAAGCCAGAAGAGAGGGTTGGAGAACCCTGGGGTGGGGTCTCCTGCACCGGCCACTTTCCTCTGCAGGACAAAAGGCAGACGCATGAAGATGGACCAGGCACATGGTGGTACAGCAGCGACATGGGTGTGGACCAGAAACTCATAGAGGAAGACAAAGCAAATGGCCAGGGCAGAACTGCGGGTCCCTAGGCAGGGGGCACACTTCAGTTCATAGTTTTCTAGCTCACATTCTATCTGGACAAATGAAAACCTAGGGGTGGGAAGTTGGCTTAATCAGCAAATTGTATGCTATGCAAGCACAAGGAGCTGAGTTTGGATCCCCAGACCCATATAAAAGTGCCTGCAAGCCAGTGCCAGGGAGGTGGAGACAGGAATTGCTGGCTGGCATGATGGTCTAGGCAACTGGTTCAGTGAGACCCTGTCTCAAAATATAATTTGGAGAGTGACCAAACAAACCAACCAACCTGACACTGACCTCTGGCTTACACACACATGCATGCAGGCACACTATGTAAGAGGGAGGGGAGGAGGGGGAGGAGGCTATCAATCCAGCCACCACGTCCCATGGGAGGTGGGGACAGGTACAGATGCAGGAGTGGAATCAGGAAACAGGCAGAGGAGCAGATGAGAGGCAGGGCCTGGAGGTGGAAGGCGGCTCCGCTGGAATGGAAGCCACAGGCTGAACTTTCATAGGGGCCTTCCTCTAAGGCCTGGAAGTTAGAGCCCAGACATGACATGCCTGCACCCTCTCTGCCTCGTCCTTTTGCCTGTGTTTGAGGCCTGTGCACATCTGCGTCTTCCATCCCAACAGTGGAAAATGTCAGTTCATCAGCATTTTGTCAAGCATCCTTAGGTTCCAGTGCCGGGGATTGGAGCCAGGGAGATAGATGAAGTATTAACCTTGTGTTGGACCTTGGTTTGCCGACTGTTCATAGAGAAGCCAGACAACCAACCAGGCTGGCAGTGGCAATGGAAAAAGCTGAGTAGTGTACATGGGCTGAAATAGATACAGATGTGCTCCTCACCTGTCTGTGAAGGGCCAGGCAGGTAGGGCCAGAGCCGAACATTCTGGAGAGGACACTTGGCCAGAAGTCGGGCAAGAAGGTTCTCAGGCAGGGTGGGCCTGTGCAGAGCAGCTAGCACCCAGGAGTTTCTCTGAGGCCCAGGGCTCCCCTCTGTGGAGTAGGGTCACAGCTGAACTGGGGACGAAGTCGGCACAGGCAGCCCTTCTAGAAAGGTCAGTATGTGCTAAGTGCCTCACTGGCTCTGACGCTGAAGCATTCGGCCTGTGTCTGTGGCCCAGGACCATAGAGAGGCCAGGACGAGACCTTCCAAACTACCTTGAAGACTATTAGGGACTCCACCTAAGGTTTCCTCCTGGCTAACCTGCCATGAGGGGCTGAGGCCTCTCATTCTCTTCCCTCCCGCTCACCATCGCTCTGTCTTCGTTCAGAATTCCAGTACTTGCCATCCCGTCCTAATCACTGAAGGGTCAGCTTAGGCTGGCCTGCTGCCTCGGATGTGGATCTCTGTGCAGCTTGTTCCGAAAACGAGTCTCTCTGCTTTCGGCTGCCAGGAGGCTTAAGAGGGCAGCTGCCCAGTCCTCCTTCCCAGCCTCCTGACCTGTAAGCCTGCCCCCATCCGCTCCTGCCTGAACTGGCTGTCCTCTTGAGCAGAGTGCATCGGCAGGGTAGCTCCTCACTGGCACGGGGATTCTCTCAGACCCTCCCGTGTGTCTGCCTTTTCACCTACACTTTCTCGCCACGCAACATCTTTTTCCTTCAAGCACAACTCGACACTTGGTCTCTCTCTGCCCCCATGGGCAAAATGAAGTTGCCTGTCTGTGTCACTTTCCTTGACAGGTTATATGACATTCAGAAACCAAAATTCCCTTCTGTAATTCTTGTCCTCTCCTGGGAATTACTAAGTTTCCCTAGTATTACTAATGCCCTAGTATTGGCTTGTTATGCACTTAAAAAAAAATCTTAAGAAAACATAGCCACAAACCTATGTTTATTTTATAATTCACACACTATTGTGTCCATCATTTTGGAGTGACTTTAAAATTCAATGATTTGTTATTTATACCCAAACTGTCCAACTGCTATTTACTATTTAAGCCCAGGTCATTTTCATCATCCTACAATAAACTGTAAGCCATCATGCATCTGTCTGGCTGACATTTTCCCACAGGCGACCATGTGGCTAAATGCTGCTACAGTGTGCAGGATTTCTCCCTACCTCTTAGTCACTCCCTCAAGGAAACAGACAAGCTTCAGCACTGCTGAGGACCCTGCCCCTCACTCCGCTGGCCTCCTGCAAGGGACCTGTACAATGAAGCAAGCTAGCAGGAAGTCTGCAGACTTTGGCACAGTGTGCAAGGAACAATAAAATCATCACTCAGCAAACATTTAAGTACCCTTTGTTTTTAAATTTAACTTTAATTTTTGAGGTAAAATACTTTTTTTTTCTTTCGACTTCCATAACAAAATACAGAGCTATCAGATACCCCTGGAAAAAATATGTATATTATACATATATTTCTATAACATTACATCATATATATAATATATATGCAAAAATTTGAAGACTTTAGAAAGCAGAACATCTAAAAGGCACTGCACAATGGTGTTCAGGTTTCTTATAATTTATGTACATATACACATCTTATTCTGCTTACACAGATGTCTAGTGAAGTCATTTATCTTCACATGTGAACGTCTCATTCACAAATCCCTGCATCACAAGTTTATAATTCAAAGAATGCCTAAGTATTTTGAAACAAATTAACGCATAACTTTTTCCAAGAAGAAACTAATTGGAACAGTTCTTTGAAGACTGAAGTTTTCTCTAAAGCCACATAAAAACATACGCCTCACTATTGTTTACACAAGAAAAAGCACAAACATAATTGTGGAATAAATAAAAAACAAGGGACGAACAGCTAAATGACTACCCACTTGGCAGTGGAATATAACTTTTTTTTCTTTTTCTTTTTTTTTTTAATGCTTCTGGAAGTTCCTTGGCCTGCGGGTCACTAGGGTTCCCTGTATTACTGAGCTGGGTTTAATGCAGTGCAGCCGGACACCTAGGGGAGACGGACTGTCTGTCTGTCTCTATTTTACTTCAGAAAAAAAGGCGAGCTCAGCAAGGCTGATGCCCCTGAGAATTTGCTACTTTTTCTACGGCTAAAAAAGCAAACTGTTTAAATGAACAAGCTCTTGATTCGTGAAATTTCAATAGATACACCTACAAAGTTTTACACATTTGGCACAACAAAATCTAGAAGGAAAAACAGACGAGGGAGAGAAGCAGGTCCAGCTTTCACCTCCTTCCCCACTGTCGGAAGGAAGGCAACCACCTTGTCTCATACCAGGCTGGAGGCAGGAACTGCCAGGAGGGGCTGGGAAGAGAACAAAATTCTCATTCCTTTGCCCCAGGAAGTATCAATGATCGCTACATTTCCCGGTCCACTTCCTGAGCAAGCCCAAGTTCTGCTCTGTAGACAGACCCTTCCCCAGATCCAAACTCCAACCACGTGCAGTGCCAATCACCACAGATTACTGGTGGAATGGCAATCGAAGGAGACAAACAGCATGGTTTCGTACAAGTCCAAAGCACTTTTCATGGAGTTCAACATTTCTGAACATTTTTCAAGTGTAAAAGCAGTGACTTGATTCAAATGGAAGCAGCATCTAGGGATTAATTCTGGCACTTGGGTTTTAGGGGTTACAGGTATGCTTCATGGATTTTCCTCCTCTCATCTTAAAGGCCCCATATTTCTATTCCTGAGTTCACACCGATACTGGTGGCCAGCTGGCCTCCCTGGTTTGATGGGCAACACCAAGCAGAGAGCCCTCCTCCAGCTGCTGGGCTTGCCTTAGATCCAGAGGTAAGTCAGGGTGAGAAAGGAAACTGATCAAACAGCCACCCAGGGCAGCTGGAGCGGTGAGTCCTTCGTGGCCCGACCAAAGCGTGGGTCACCAGAGACCTGGGGAAAGACAGTCACTCATGTATGGAACCTGGACCAAGTGACAGGACACTCATCAAGCAATAGCAACGATGGCCTCAAGTCACCCCAAGTCAGCTAATGTCTCCTGAGCTCCTTTGTGCATGCACTTCAGTTAAAAAAAAAACAAAACAAAAAAACCAAACACGCCACCATCAAAAGACAACACTTAAGAGTTACTTGGTCTACAGGATTTTCACCTAGGCTAAGGTGGTGGAGTCAGGAATCACTGACACCCCAATGTCAACACTGCCTCAGCAGCTATGGAACGGTTTTTCCTCGCTGCCCCAAGCCATTCTAAGCACATGTGTGCACAGAGGACGCTGGCTGGTGCCGCTCTCTCTGCCCCTAGTGCTAACAGTTCATTTCACATAAGATCAGTGTCTTCCAATTCCTTTGAAGATGCTGTCAGGGACTTTCCCACAAAGACAGGACTCCGCCTGTGAGCTGTGTTTTGTGAACAGTCAACTGATCAGCACAAGCTCGGCAAACGGGGCTCACAAAGATGGCACCACCACCACAGGGCAGACATCAGCTCTTTCCCTCTCCAGGCCTCTTGGCATCTGGTCACCACCTTCCTAGCTCTTCCTTCAGTTTCAACAACACTTGTTCCCAGCTACTCCATGCTTATCAATTATCATCTGCCTTTCATTCTCACAATCTTACCCTTTCCACCCAGCCTGGTACATCAGAGGGAATAATTATCATAGGAATTCAACTATGCCTCAACATTCCTGGGTTATCTGAACAGTATCCATGCCCTTTACAGGTTTATGTTGACAGACCCGTATCATCTTAAAGCATGTTCATAGTTAAGGCTTGACTTAAGAAACAGTAATACAACCAGACACAACAGAAAACCATCTTCAACGGTGCTATCCTGCTCCTCATAAAACTTGCTCAGTCACACTTGGCATGGTTTCCCAAACCCACAATGGAAAAAGAAAAATGAAGACCATTTCTGTCGTTTGTTTTGTTTTTAAAGGCATCGGGTTCCTTCCTCCTGCCCTTCTTTCTTCCCTGATCAGGAGCTGACAACTCCTCATGGCTTCTGAATAGGTGAAGGAGGTGGCAGGTCAAGGAGCTTACAGCAGGACTTCCTTCCCACCTCAGCTCTGAAGGGGAGGGCGGGTGGTCGGGCCTGGGCCCTCCCTGCCCAGTATAACTGGCAGGACACTCAAGTGTCTTGAAAACATTTTCTAAAAAGGGAGGAAAAGCCAAATGCATGTGTGTGTGTGTGTGTGTGTGTGAGAGAGAGAGAGAGAGGGAGAGAGAGAGAGAATGCGTGTGTACATGTGTGGGAGAGAGCATGTGTGCTCGGGGAGGGGGAGGAGAGGGGAGAGTAGAGAACATCACCTAATTGTTCCCCACTCCAGTAAGCCTGCAACTGTCTTTGTTCTCTCCTGAAATAAGTGTCTCAGGCTAACATGCTGGGTATTGTTGCTTCCCACCCAACCTTCCAGCCTTCTCCTCTTACCTCTCTCTCTCAAAGGGAAATATCCCACTACTGGCTTTCTGTATGTATAAATACAATAGAAAACACTATGGGTCCTGAACTGTAATGAGACTACAAAGTGGGCTCTTATGGAGCCTGTCAGGCAGCATGAGTCTTAAACAGGAAACAGGCTCCTTCCCCCACAGTTCAATACCCTCCCTACATCCTACTCACCAAGAAAGAAAAGTGTGTTCATACCCCACTTAATTTACAACACAAGATACTCGTCCCATCCAACAAAAACGTTCAAGTCCATGCCTCAGAATTATCAAACCAGCTTAACCCCGCCTCCCACCCCAGAATCTTGCTGCATAAATACGTGTATCTGACTGTAGTATGAACAGCTTCCCTTCCGCTGTGGTTCTAAGCATCAGCAGCAGCAGTGGCTGCTGTAGCCAGGCCCTGGGGTCCTGCCCCATTCCAGAGGAACTTGCCGGTCTTACTTAGCTCCCGGGCTTCAGGGCCGTCGTTCCACCGCCTCTTCAATCGAAGCTTGGGGGGCATCAGGGCATCTTCTTTCTTCTCAGGTACACTGGACTCCTTGCCAGACCTGTCCTCACTGTCTTCAGTCCCCTCTAGGGGTTCATCACTGGGGGTGCTGACGGATACAGAGGGCCAGGTGGGTGAGGGGTGGGCAAACACGGTGCCTTTCCCCTCTTCTACGGTCCTGGTCCGCACAGCGCCCACTTCTTGGGAGTGTTCCTCCTTTTCGTGGGTTGATTGCCTGAGGCTCTCGGAATCCTTCTCAGAGGTGGGCTCTACCTTAATTCGAGAGGGAGCAGGTGCACTGATTGGTGCAGAGCCACGCGTGGATTCCTCACTGTTTTCTGCCCTCTCTCGGTTCTTCCGTCCAGCTGGTGGGGGCTGCAGTTTGATAGAGAACTGGGAAGACTCCTCAGGATGCATTTGGCACTGCAGCGGTGGGACCATGAGCCCTGGGTAGCGGGGGAAAGTCCGAGGACTCAGATGGTAGTTGAACACAGAACAGGCCTGAGAATGAAGGTAGTGTTTCATTTCCTCCGGGTTGAAGGAGAAGCAACTGCTGCTGGCGAAGGGGCTCAGGCCTGGGGAGGGGCTGTAGGAGAACATGGTGGGAGTCAGGGACAGGGCTGGTGAGATGGGGACATTGAGGACACCTCCACGACCAGGGACTGGAGAGAGAGCGAAGGGACTGTGGGGGTCAGGGTACATTGCTGGCCGAGTGAAGAGAGGAAGCATTATGTCAGGCTTGCGTTTCTGGTGGCCAATTCCGCCTCCACTAAGAGCATTTCGAGAGGGCATGAAGTCCATGCTCCGGTGCCAGTCAGAGGCCGAGCCATCTTCGAGGTCCGAAGGCTCCACCTTTCTATCGGTGGGACCACCTGACTCGGCACCAGAAGCACTCAAGGCGCTGGCAGAGAAGCGCCCTGGCTGCACATCGCCAGGGGGAGAGTGCGTGTCTAGAGGTGGGAAATGGAACCGGGAAGAGGCTGTTGGCACTGGTGGTGCACTCTGGGGAACCACACCTGTGACGGAAGAAAAGAAAGGTCTGCGTTGGCCACCTGGTCACTCACTATCATCACTTGTACTTACACTAGCTAAGCACACAATGGTAAGTGACAACAGGAAACAAACCTTCTATCTAGTCTGAGTCTTTTTCAAAACTATTGTTTAGGCTGGGTGTGGTGGGAACAGTCTTGCAATCTCAGCACTCAGGAGGCTGAGGGAGGAGGCCTAAGCCTTTAAAGGCAAGCCTGTATCGCTTAGCTTTCTCCATTCAGCGTGGCTTCCACATTCCTCTGGCCTCTTACCTTACTGTCCAGGCAGTCCTCCTTCCTACCTGCAATGCCATTCAATATTTGAGTTAAAACTATATCCCAACATTTCAGGGCTTAATAGTTAGTAGGTTCCCACTAGACATTAGTTGGACGAATGAATAGATCTTGCAACTCTATTGTGTGTGCACCCCATTTCAATTTTCAGCTTCACAGGTAAAATTTTCCTTACCATCATAACTTTAGCTGTATTTATAAAGCAAGCAAATCCAGTAGCAACACAGCCAAACAAAGCACATGCATGTGGTTGCACTGAAAAAACAGGCTCTTCCTCACATAGACAGACAGGAACAAGATCCTACTTTAGTGAAACAGATTGGTACGAAAAGGCAATTTTTATAGCCAAACGAATGGAAACACATGAACTATGAACCAAAGGCTGAGGGGCCCCCAACTGGATCAGGCCCTCTGAATAGGTGAGACAGTTGATTGGCTTGATCTGTTTGGGAGGCATCAAGGCAGTGGTACCAGGTCCTGTGCTCATTGCATGAGTTGGCTGTTTGAAACCTGGGACTTATGCAGGGACGCTTGGCTCAGTCTGGGAGGAGGGGACTGGACCTGCCTGGACTGAGTCTACCAGGTTGATCGCAGTCCTGGGGGGGGGTGGGATTTGCCCTGGAGGAGGTGGGAATGGGGGATGGGCTGGGGGTAAGAGGAGGGGGTGGGAGGGGGGAGAATAGGGGAACCCGTGGCTGATAAGTAGAACTGAATGGTATTGTAAAATAAAATAAATAAAATTAAAAAAAAAAAAAAAGGCAATTTTTATTAAGGTAAGTTCTTATGGTTTATCTTTATAATTTTTGATAGACAACTATTATCTCAGAGATTCCAGTCTTTCTATATCTATAGTCCAATGAATTCTATATAATGATATCTATTTCTGTTATCCTTAAGTACTGAGGAGGAGGCTGGACCTACTATTTCCTCTCCCAAGTCTGACTGCTGGCAGGTGTGACAGCTTATTATAATCCCAGTACCAGGGAGGCTAAGGCAGGAAAATTACTGTGACTTGAGGCTAAGTTGGCTAAAAAACAAACAAACAAACAAAAAAACAAACCAAGTTTAACTGCTAAATTTCAAACTCTAAGAAGAACCTATCATTGTATCACATTAACTTGAGAAGCTCATGAATTCTCAACTTGCCCTAAAAGCCCCAAATAAGACCTAAGAAAGCGGCTACCTGAAGCCTCAGGTGCCTTACAGGTTCCTGGGAGGTACCAGTGGCTGTTAACATGATGGTATCTTTATACATGACAGAAAGCTAAAAGTAAAAAAGAGGGGTAAAAATAAGGGGGCGGGGGAGTCCAAGTTTGGTGGTCCAGGAGAGAAAACAGGGCACAAATATAGTGTCTGAACTGTTCCCAGCTCTGGCATAGCTTTGGAGCAGGCCACTGCGTGGAAGACTGTGGCTTTCTTGGTGCCCATGGTTGAGTGACACCTGCCAGAGCAGCATTCACCAACAAATGTTCAACAGAAAACACTTCTTCTGTAGGCCTTGTTCTAAAAGCCCCTGAACTGAGATTAATTATTAAGAGTAATAAATAGGAAAATCAGACACACGACCTTGCATATGATCTGAGTAGAGCCCAGATAGGTCCAGGCCAATAGATCTCTTTAGTTTATTACAGCAACTAAGAGTCTATTACTTTTAATTTTTTGACTCTTGACTTATTAAGAGTCTTATCTAAGGGCTGTAAAAATGGCTCCGTGGTTAAGAGCACCTGCTGCTCCTACAGAAGACCTGAGTTGGGTTCACAGCACCCATATGGCAGCTCACAACCATCTGTAACTCCAGTTCCAGGAGATCCAAAACCCTCTTCTGGCCTCCACAGGTACTGAACACACGTGATGTACACACATATACATACAATTAGGCAAAATATATACACATAAAAAATATTTAAAAGAAGTTATTAGTCAAAAGTGAAAAACCATTTGTTTATAATCTGAAATGCAGCATATAAGCTATAACAGAATATAAATGTATTATATTATAAATGCAGAATATAAGAATAACATGGAGAGGAAAAGAAAGTCCTATTTCCTATGCAAGTCAGAAATGCTTGCTTAAGTGAGTTTTGTTTCTATTTGTAATAGCGTCTACTTTGGTCTTTATACACATACTAAGACATACTGCACACCTATAAGGAGTTATTTCCACATGTATTTACATGGGACAAAGGAAGATAAGACCAGGGCAATATATGGATGGTGGCTGCTGATTCCCCCACCTTTATGTATAATATGTTGAGGTGTCAAATCTAAGGTTCTGTTTGAAAAGCAAGCAAAAAACAAAGCCCACTGTTACAAAAGCGTCAACATGACGTCAACTTGAAAGAAGAGCACAGCAGCCACATGCACAGTCAGGAAATCTGAGCCTCAGTTCCTGGGCCTTCTACCTCGTAACTAGTGTAAGTAACACACGGGAGCTCTTGGTGCTCCCTCCTCAAACAATTCAAATGGTAAGCTCTTTGCCTGGGTTCAAACCCTAATCCTACCCATGTGTTTTTGAAAAAATTACTTTCTGGCCCAGTTTTCGTAAGTCGGAAGTAATGAGACCAATCCTAATGTTAGAGAAATAGTTAACATTTGTGAGGCTTTTGGAATAGTACCCAAGTATAGCAAGTCATATGTTGTTAGAGTAAACTGTGTTTGTGCTTTTTGAGGCAGCATTTCATTATGCAGTCCTGGCCTCCCTAGAACTTGCTACTAGGCAACCCAGGCTAGCTTCAAACTAACAGAGATCCACCTGCCCCTGCCTTCCAAGGGCTTGGTTTATCAGCATGAGCCACTGTGCCGCACTTACTCTAAATGGTTAAAAAAAAAAAAAAAAAAAATTAAAATTTTAAATTAAAAAAAAACTTAAATACTGTTTACACATGGGCCTTATTATATTTTTAGAGTAACACTAAATTTCCTGGGTGTGGTAATGTCATTGCAGTTATAGCAAAGAACATCCTTATTCCTGGGAGAAAAGCCATGGCAGCTGCATGTTAATCTCCAGATGCAAAATGTATCTGTAAATAGAGATAAAGTACACGTGGCAATGATATTAACCACAGGGAATCAGGGGGAGGGTATACGAGTGCTCTTTTCTGAATTCAATTCTTTGTTAGGTTTCAAGTTTTCCAAAAGAAGTATTAAAGAGCCGGGTAGTGGTGGCCCATGCCTTTAATCCCAGCACTCAGGAGGCAGAGCCAGGCAGATCTCTGTGAGTTCGAGGCCAACCTGGTCTACAGAGTGAGATCCAGGACAGGCACCAAAACTACACGGAGAACCCTGTCTCAAAAAACCAAAAAAAAAAAAAAAAAAAGTATTAAAGACCAGGGTGGTGGCAGGGAGGCAATTTGAGAGACAGGTTTAGCCTGCCTTGTCCCCACCTACTGATAGTTTTTTTCAACCAGTGATTCTTTATCTTTAATGTTTCTTAGGCAGGCGTGAGCGCGCGCACACACACACACACACACAAGAGTATAAAGCATAAAGTGCTTGGATTACCAGCATGAGCCATTATGCCTGGCTTAATTTTTTTAAATTTATTTTTAATTTTTATGTGCACTAGTGTTTTGCCATGGGTGTCAGGTCCCTTGGAACTGGAGTTACAGTTGTGAGCTGCCATGTGGATGCTGGGAATTGAACCTAGGTCCTGTGGAAGAGCAGTCAGTGTTCTTAATTGCTGAGCCATCTCTCCAGCCCTGACAGGCTTAATTTTTAATGGTTAAAAAAGAAAATCAAAAATTAAAAATTAAAAAAAAATTAAAATGGTTTATATGTAGGCCATATTATATATGCTATACACATATATGGTATGTATATGTATTATATATATAAAGATACTGCATATAGATGTACTTTTGAGACAGAAACTTACCATGCAGCCAATGTCACCTGCCTCACCTTCTACATGCTGGGATTATAGGTGTGCTACTCTAGTACTGAGTACTCTACCCTACAGTGTCTTTTGGGGTTTTGAGACATGGTCTCAGAGTGGCCCCGGTTATCTCTGAAGTCAGTACACAGCCCAGGGTAATTCTGAACTCCAGGCCCTTTGACCTTCTACTTTCTAAGTGCTAGGATTACAGGCTGCTCCACCATGCCAAACTCCACCTTAAACTATTAACAGTGACTAGGACAAACACGGAGGAAAAGGACAACAGTCACATTTACAGTTTTCGTACTGGACCATATAGCTTCACTTAAAAACAGGGAGACCAGAACAGCGGCATACATGACCCACCTACAGAGTCTCTGGCCTCCAGGGTTTAAGTGGTGAGACTTACTCTCTACAGCACTTATTACATCCCACCACACAAACCTAGAATCCTTTTTTCACATTTTTATTTTTCTCTCATACATTACATCCCAACCCCAGTTCCCTCCCTCCACTCCTACCAGTTCTTCTTCCTCACCTCCCCTCTCTCCAGATGAACTCGACTATTCCCCTCAAAATAAATAAATAAACAACAACAACAACAACAACAAAGAGCAGGCCTCCCAGGGATATCCACCAAACATGGCCTAACAAGATACAGTAAGACTGGGCACAAACCCTCATTATCATGGATGGATGCGGCAAGCCAGTAGGAGGCACAGGGTCCCCGGTGCTTGCAACAGAGTTAGATATACCTCGACTCCCAGTGTTGGTAGTCTCACAAGAACCCCCAGCTACACAACCGTAAGGTATATGCAGAGGACCTAGCACAGCCCCCCGCAGGCTCTGTGGTTGTCCCTTCAGTCCCTGAGAGCCTCTATGAGCCCTGCTTAGTTGATTCTGTGGGTCATGTTCTTATGGTGTCCTCAACCCCTCTGGCCCCTACAATCCTTCCTCCTCTTCTGTGGGGATCCCCTGGCTCTGCCTAGTGACAAACCTAGAATCTTATCTCTCAGCTAAACTCTTAAGTTCCTTGAGGAAAAGAACTTCCTCATACTCCTTTTTTTTTTTTTAGGGATTAACACATCTGTTAACACATGGATGAATCCTAACCAAGAGGAAGACTGCATGATATATAAAACAAGAGCATGCCTCTAATAGCTGAACGAAGAACTGGACTTACTTCTGTCTTTGATTCTGCTGTGTTCACATTTAATTTTGTCATTTGTAAAAGAGTATCAAGACATGTATTTTACTAGGTTAAAAGCATAGAAACTCATTAAACAGGCAAAAACACAGAAGCACCTCACTAAGCAGATGTTACTTTCCTTTCTCAACATTATGTTAATCTTAAACACTTGGTCTATGTGGGTAAAAGTTCTCTGCAAACAAATGGCTCTGGTTCTTCAGAGTTATCTATACCGAGGAGTCAACAACCTAAAAGGATGGTTCACTGTCTTGCTTTTCCTGGGATGATGATGATGATTAATATTATTTTGTGCTGAGAGTTGAACCCAGGGCCTTATATAAGCTAGGCAAGTGCTTTTCTGAGCTATGGCCACCCCAGAACTTTTGATTAGCATCTTGAGCCTATTAGTGATCAGTGCCAGTTTAACAGCTTTTGGTGTAACTGCTGTGCCAGACCACTAACTATTGTTAGGTCTGCAGAGCAGAGCTTCTACAGGGTCCGAGTCCAGTGAGCCCTTGCCTTGGAAAGCCAGAGTAGTCCCAGGGGTTGATGGCCATTCTATTCAAGTTGTCTAAGTGGTTGAACTTCTGGGCTTTCAATTGATGAAAATGGATCAAAGAATAAGACCAACATTTTTGGACATGGAGTGCAAGGGTATGAAGCCCAACACGTTCCTTCAAAAATCGATGGCATGCCCATCTAGAGTCCTACTTTCCATAGGCGCATAGGGAAGAAGCAAGAGTGAGAAAGAGAGGAAACAAGAATCCAGGGGCTAGAACAGCTCTGATTTCCTAATGCAGCTCCCTTAGGCACAGGGAAAGAAGACAGGTGGTAATTAGAGGTGCATTCCAACCCCCACCCCCAAATGCATGCCCCAGGGACAGGCGGGAGCGGTTGCTGGAGAGGTGGGACTCAATGATAGCAGTCAAGCTCAAACTGCCCTAACTTGTTGTGTGCAGTAATTACATATCTAGATCATCTTAGCATTATATTCTCTTAGCCACACCCTCCTCTAATTTTTCAAGTTTCTGCCAACTTCTGAGCACTTTTATTCAAAGTCCTGCTCTCCTTTCTCTGCGTAGAATGTCACAAAGAACAATGATCAAACTGGTCAAAGATGGCCCTCGACACCTGTAATCCTAGCACTTGGATGATGAGGCAGGAAGACTGCCCTAGGCCAAGCTGACAAGAGTGAAGTTCAAGACCAGCCTGACCACATAGTGAGACCTGTCTCACATAGAAAAAACCTGACTCTTGAGCAGGAGGATAATTTATTATCTTTAACATGTGCCCCGCTCCCCTCCAACAAACAAAAATCCCCAAAGCAAAAAGAAACCTCTAACCTAACTCTAACTCAGACAACTACATCCAACACTTTTGGAGGTGGATGCGTCTTCATCAAGGAGCAGACCAAAAGGCTGTGAGCTCGGATGAATGCTGTAAGACAGCACAGAGGAGGAAGCCTGCTTGCACTTCAAAGGAGAGGAGGCTAAGTCAAGTCCCCAGTCTTGCACCGAGGAACCCTGCTGAGTGCTGGTGCAGATCAGAGACTTGGCCTTTCACTGCAAACATGATCAAGGGCGCTGTGGTTTTGATGACATTCACTTGATAAGGGAGAGCTTGTAGTTTCATAGAAAATCGGAAACGTTTGTAGAAACAGGTTCACAGCTAGGAAACAGCCATTGGGCAAGGTGTTAAAATGGAGTTTTGAATTTAAAATTCAACATAAACCTATGGACTCATTCCCCAAAAGGAGTTTAGTAATATCCAGGAGGCTGGAAATAATGCATATAGAGTCCCCAAATAAACTAAACAAGCCTGTTAGAGTAACGCATACCCCATTACTCCTGTCAGATGAGTACGGAGGACCTGAAGTGATCTAAGGGATCAGGTCACATCAGTGTTTCTAAAATCTCCTTACTCAGGTCATGTCGCACATTTGGGTTTTTGATAATTCATTTTAAATTCAAAATCCACTCTCCATCCTAGGTATTTGTATCTTACCACTTGAGCGAATGTTGATGAAAGGGTAGTTGGGCATCACCAGCTTGTTGAAGTTAAACTTGTAAGTAAACCTTTTCCCTTTTGTTTTATGAAGGATCCTCTTGTTGTAGTAGTATCTACAAAAAGAAGAACACACAGTACAACATTTGCTATGCTCAGGTAATTACTAAGATCAATTCTGGCTCCAAGCATTGCTTACAAAAACCTTCACCATTCCTTTGTAGCTTGGCCCTGGAGTTAGGGCTTGGAGAGCTAAAGCTCACTTTTCTCACCCAGTTTGAACTCAGCTGTGGTCTTTGGAGCTCGACACAGACATTTTTAAGGCAGGTAGCTTCCTCAGTTCTAACGCTCACCTTCTCATTCCCCTACAGCTTCACTGCAGGGTCCTCTTCCTTCCTGCTCCACTCTAACTAACTTCTAGTTTCCATCTGTCTTGTCCAGGTGGGGTCGGACAAGTCTTCTGGGAGAGCTCATGGGTTAGTCAGGACCCTAAGTGCAAGGACTAAACATGGAGTGGAAACCTGTTTTCTGACAGCCAGTGAGACAACTGCAGGATCGGCAAACAGCAGCCACCCTGGCGGCTTCGCCTTCGACGTGGCCGAGCCTGGATGTGGGAGGCTCCAGCTACACTGCACAGATTCTACACTCGGGCTACTGAGAATGAGGACAGACAGGAATTTCCATCTACCTGGAAGCTTTGGCCTGGCTTCTTAAGTAGCAGATGTCATAAACTACCTGCTGGCCCCTTGGGGTCTAAGGGGTTATAAAATTTAAAAAACTGACAGAGAAGAGTGAACTTATAGCGACTGTTCTTTGGACACATCATAGCAACCTATGGACCAAATGGAGGCTGCAGATACGGTACGTGAGCCCCTGGGTTCAGGGGCAATCAGCAAGCCTCCCTCCTGTACTCACCGTACCTTTCCCACTTCTTCTAGGAAAGCCTAAAGAAGAGGAATGATGGGCATTTCCCAAAAGGGAAGTCTACACTAATCCTCTGCATTGTAAGTGAGCCTAGTCCATGTCACCATGTGCTCTTCCCCACTACACAGCACAATCAGCTGTCAGGAGCCAACGCCTGCCACAGTGGAATCCCTCCTACACCTCCTCAGCTCTTGTGCCACTCAGATTCAACACCTCTTTCAAGTGACACATTATCACTAAGTGCAGTCCTTTGTCACCTGATACCTTTTTAGCTTTCATCCACAAAACTGCATACGTTCCTTCCAACTTTGTTAATACCACAAATCTGGGGGATGCTCCCCCTCACCTGAGGGCCCGGCTCAGCTTGTCATAGTTCATCTGCGGCTTGCACTTCCTGCGGCCCCAGAGGCGGGCCACTTCGTCTGGGTCCTTGATGACGAACTCCCCGTATTCTCCCTGCTGCCAGGCGATGACATGGCGGAACTCTTCCTTCTGCAGCAGTTCCAGGATGAAGTGCCACAGCTGGATCTGCCGGGAGCCTGGCGACGACTCGGTTTTGTAGGCCCAGTCAGGAAACTGATACCCTTCCATGTGAAAAGAGCAAGATCAAAGGAGTTAGGAGTTAGGTACAAACATGCCAGTACCCCACCTCCACATTCCACGGCTCACAATCTCCAGAGTACTTTGCAAACACACCCTTCCAGTCAGCTAGGCTAACCATAAAGAGGAGAGGAAAGGATGGAGGAATTACTCATCCTGTGGCAATCACTGACTCTGACAAAAGTTGGCCAGCAGTACTTAGGCATCCTAATAATCCATCACCTTTTCAGAGATTACTAAATAACAAAGAAGCAAGATAAACTAATGTTTCCCCAGGGTGGAATTATTTCTCTAACAGAAAAGGAGATACTGAAACTTGCAATGAAGATGTGTGGGCCGGACAAGTTAAATATCTCTCCATAGGAAACAAGCCTACAACCATCCTACCAAGATCTACACAGTTATGAGGCTTGTCGGTCCTGGTCTAGCATTTGTCAACTAAGCCCAAGTGGGAACAGGAACGCTAAGGGACAGGAACCACTAAGGGACATTCCAGATCCATCAGAGATGAACTTCTGCTCACCTCCACCTCCTTCTGGCTTTTCCACGATGCTACAGCCTGCTTTCATTTTCGCCCTCCTGCTGAGAGAAACAAGTCCCGCAATTATTTTGAGATGTTGTGAGTTATCTAAGGTTTTTTTGGCACAGTTTTTCCACAAACATCCCCTCCCCTTTGTCTTGACTTTTCTTTCAAAGCCTTTTGTCTTTCAAACATGTCACCTCTAAACTACTAAACCTCAAGTCATCAAATGATGGTCCTCAGCCCATCAGCTTCAAAAGCCATAATTACCTCTCACCTGACTTTAGCCACATGTGTAAACACTGTCCTTAATATCTACCTTCTTCCTTCTGACCAGCCCTCCAACAAAAAAGGGAAGAGAACAGTGAAACAAGTCCCAAAAGGCAGCAAAAACAAGCCAAACAATTTGTTTTCTATTACTAGACAAGCCCATATCCTAAGGTACACAGACCCGAGTTCACCCAGATATACCAAATTAAAGAGTGAAAAAAATCCAACCCCCCTACTCAAGAAGGAACTTCTGACTCTGAAATATTTACTGAATTATGTGAGATGGAAAACAACATCTTCCGGTCAGAAACTGCGCTCACCCTCGAAAATTATTCTGAGATACAGACTGTAAATATGCCGTCTATACAAGAAACAGCACTCTCCTAAAACTTCGTGGGAAAAATGTAAAGGCATATATTTAAGAGGGAAATAAAAAGGATAAGGCAGGTACTTGGGATCGCCCGGCCAGTGGTGGAAGGCATCTTGCCAGGATCTGAATTCATTCCATACAGATTTATATTTCCTCCACAAATTTCCTGTTCCTAGCAGCGGGCAGCTTTGTGTCAGCCCTTCAGCAAAGAGGAGGGGAGGGTCAAACTGGCAGAGGATGACGGAGGAAGAGCGAACGGACTTACTCTGATCCCTCTGCGGGGTGGACGACAGGCCCTCAGCACCGATTACTAGAGCAGGTCTGGAGCACACGCAGGTGCTTCAGAGGCCCCAGGGTGGGGTGGGACAAATTCCTAATCTTGGAAATGTCATCTAGCCTAGCATTCCTCTAGATGGTCGGCATTTTCTTCCCCGACACATACATTCAGGAGAACAGTAAGTTTCAGTCCACAAGCACACAAGGGACCAAGGAGCTGATAAATGGCTCAGGGAAGGAGGCAACAGACAAGACACTGGCACACACAGGATATACACAATAACAAGGCACCAGGGCCGGGCAGAAGCTTCCTCTCCCGTTTCCGTGATGATGGGGGAGAAGAAAACACCGATTTCCCCAAGGCTCCGGGAAGCTGTCCTGGACGAACTCCTAGACTGCGCTGTCGGATCGCGGGGCCCTTTCCCTGCTCGGGAACACCCTTCAGCCTGGCGGCTGTGGGCTCGCGCTGGGCGACGCCCGAGCCGGACGCCCTCTCCCTCGGTCCCCCGGGCCCCCGACATGCCCATCAAGCCCCTCGGAGCCCGCAGGCGCGTCTGCAGGTGTTCGCGACTCCCCAGGGCGCTCGGTCACCCGCCCGGCCTGCGGCGGGGGTTCGCCGCTCCCGCCCGGCCGCAGCGGCTCCCACGGCCGCCCGCACCCGTGTCCCCTTCCGTCCTGCCCGCGAGGGCCGCGACCGCCGACGCCGGCCTCACCTCTCCGGCGCCGTCCGTCTCTACTCGGGCTCCTCCGCGGCAGCTCGGGCTCCTCCTCATCCACCCAGCAGGAAGTGACTCCGCGGCTGCTCTCGTCACTTCCGCCCCAGGCCGGGTGGGAGGGGGCGGTGTCCCGAGCCGACGCCGCTTCCGCTCCGAAGGTGCCGGTGCCGCTCCGTGGCTCGGAGGCTGCGTGCCTGGAACCACGCGTGGAAGGAGGGCGCTTCCGCACCGACGGGAGCCCAGAAGCTTCTGAAGCACGTGCGGCATTGGCCTTTCCTCCCTGCGCAGCCCAGGGGGGTAAAGGATCGTTTCCTCGCTCGTCTCCATGTTAGTCCTGGTCGGTCGGCCTCATCCAAGTATTGTAAAGTGCACGTCTTTGCCATTCCAGCACCACCCCTCCCCTTTCCTCTTTGCCTTTTGTTCCTGATTAAGCAATTACACATTTGTCCGAAACAAACTTTGTTCAAGAGTTAGTGATAAGGGATCTGAAATCAGTTTCCGTAGTTCCGAATGGTTTCCAGCCCAAGTTTCTCTTCAGAGAGAGGCAGAACTGGGATCAGTAGAAAGGTTAAGTGTGTGAAAATAAAAAAAAAGTAGTGAAAAGTGGGGGAGGCGAGGATGACAGGAGGAATGGAAGACCAGTTTTTATCAAACGCCTATCAACTGCATACAACTTTTCCTTCCTGTGAACGACACAGAACATGGAAATAGTATCATTAGCTGTTAAAAGGTGGCCTTCTAGTTTTGGACATGCCTATTAGCACCTCCCCAGGCTGGCCAATGAATTTGTAATTATCCTGTGCTGTCCTGGGATTACAGAAATGTACCACCACATCTGGCTTCTTGTTTGTTTGTTTGTAGGCAGGGCCTTACTATATAACCTCTGGCTGCCTTGGAACGCACTGTGTAGACCAGGCTGGCCTCAAACTCACAGAGATCCGCCTGCCTCTGCCTCCCGAGTGCTGGGATTAAAGGCGTGTGCCACTACAAGAGGCTAACAACGGGTTGTTCTTGAGTCATTCAGTGATAAGCTCATTGTTAAGTATGGCCTAAGGTTGCCTTACTTGTTTAAAAAAGAAGGAATAATAGTGTTGCTGAGGTCAGGCTTTCCCCCATGCCTTCTAGTTAGAAAGTCTTTACTATGAAAGTAAACACAGTGAACAAGATTTAAATGCCATTAAGAGGATTACCGATACAAGCACTTTGAGTGTAGAAATGCTTCTGTGCAGTCTAGAAACCGTCTTCTCTGTTAGGTTGAACAGATCAAAATGCTAGGGTTTAGCGGAATCAGTGATTCTAAAACTGTGGGTTGTGACCCCTTTGGCAAACCTCTATCTCCAGAAATATTTACATCGCGATTCATAACAGTAGCAAAATTACAGTTATGAAGTAGCAATGAGAATAATTTTATGGTGAGGGGTCACCACACCATGAGGAACTGTGTTAAAGGGTCGCAGCATTGGGAAGGCTGAGAACCACTGAGCTAAATGAACCTATTTCAGGTCTCGTGTCTTCAGTTATTGGCTTTGTCGCCTTGGTTAGGCACTCACTGTCAGTTCCTCATCTGTTTGAACACGGCGTTTATGGAGTATTCTTCTGGACTCCTGTAGCTGTTTAGCTGTATCTTATTGTGTAGGGGATATGATAGGTATGCCATTGCCATGTTTGACTCGTTAACACGATATGGGCGACTTAGGACAGAGAACGGTACAGTGTAAACACAGCATATGGATACACGGTGGCAGAATGATCTCAAGACTGATAAGACCCCTCAGATTTTCCTATCATTCATGCAGTTCTTAGCCATTGTTAACTCAGGAAGCAGGGTGATCAGAATGAGTGGTTTCTCCAGAAACTCTGAGGTTGCCGACCTTTACCTCGTGGTTTAGATGGGCACACTTAGAGCCAGCACTGAGGAAGAACCAGTAGCCAGAGTTATGGGGACTCTTTCTGTAGGTATTTTTACTCGCTTCTCTAGACTAATGATTTTCTGTGGCTATTTCTCTTTCCCTAACTAATTGGGAGTCGCAGAGGACGAGGTAACATGATTTACAGAGATGAACAGGTCTCAGTCCTTGGCATGAGTCTGAATTGATACCTGGAGAAATGTTTATATCACGGCAGATCTCAACAGAGTTCTGAGATCTAGTTAACCACCTGCCTGATGTTCAACAGGTGAATTTAGCTTCAATAAAGCAAACTGGACTGGACTGGACAGGTCTGGGTAAGGCATTTGTGCTCTGGAAACCTTAACTGTGGTGTTGGAATCTGGAGGGGTCGGGTGGGGAAGATTGGGACGGCTAGGGACTTCCTGCCCAGTTACCCGTGTACTGTGTTCACCACTACATGGCAGCCTTCAGCATCTGTTGCATACAGGTTTTTACAAGTTGAAGATTCTCTTGAAATGGGGAGAGCAGTACCTTCTACAGTATGGGCGTGGAAACACGTAGAGATAGCCTAGTAGTCCAGCCATCTTGTAATCACTCTTGAATTTCCAGTTGCTCAGAGCAACTTCGACACTGCCCCCCCGCACCTCCCCCAACCCACGTTTGTAATTGTCCCACATCCAGGATAAGGTTCCGTTCTAAGCCATGTGCTCTGAAAATTCCATTTTTTTTTTTTTTTTTTTTTTTTTTTTTGGTTTTTCGAGACAGGGTTTCTCTGTGTAGCTTTGCGCCTTTCCTGGAACTCACTTGGTAGCCCAGGCTGGCCTCGAACTCACAGAGATCCGCCTGCCTCTGCCTCCCAAGTGCTGGGACTAAAGATGTGCGCCACCACCGCCCGGCTGAAAAATTCTTATCAAGATACAGCTCCTCTCTCATCCCTAAAAAGAAAAAGAAAAAAAAAAAAGAGTTGGGTATAAGTGGCACATGCCTCTAATTCCAGCACTTGGGAGGCAGAGGAGGGTCAGGAGTTCAAGGCCAGCTTCCATATAGGGGGTTTGAGGGCAGCCTGGGTTACATGAGACCTTGTCTCCAAAAACAAAAACAAACAAACAACCCCCCCCCAAAAAAAAAAAACAAAACAAAACCAAGAGGACATTCCCCTAACTCTATTTTTTTTCTAACAGCCCCTCCTGGATTGTCTCCCTTCCCTACCTCCAGCTTCATTACTTAATGGTTCCCGTTTTCATGTATGCACTTATAGGTTTCCACACCCTAAACCTACCTGGCCATGTGTATGATAAAATCCCTGCTTGTCTACTCTTGCAATAGGTGACTGTTTATATTCCATCGACTTGTGTAATGGACATATCTTTCTTCCTAGAGTGTCTTCTTAGGTTGCAGGCCCCTGCAGAGGCTCTGTTCCTCCACTGGAGCGCGTAATGATGCCCATTCTTCTCTGTTGTCCGAGGCAGAGGTGCTGGTGAGTGTGGCTTCACCCACTTCTTGGCCACCTCTAGAAGGCAGAAAGCCTCGCGCCTCCAAAATGTCTCCTCACTGAACTGGGATTTCAAAGACCCAGGTTTCAGTCCCTGTTCTGTGTTTGCTGACTGTTCTCTGACTAGACATTATTAGCTTCCCCCGAGTGTCCACCTCCTCCTAGCCAAGAGGGGACTCTGTTGCTGTTCTTGGTGAGGACAGAGTAATATCATTTCTAAACTCTGGATCATGATTGCTTTTGCTGCCATCCCTGATACCACACTATTTTTGGTATCAAGAGCTCAAACTTGACAGCAGTTACTACATAATTTTACAAATTTTGAATAGATTCAGTGTTTTAAACCTGTTTCAAAATCTAATGATTAAAAAAAATTTTTTTTTCCCCCAGAATTTAGGCTCTTAGGTTTCTTAGATCTTAAGCATGAGTTTCTGAGGCCTAGCCTCAGGTGGTACATGTCAATCACTCTCTTTCAGTTTCTCCATGAAGTGATCATGGTAGGATTTTCTGGGGTAGGGGGCTGGGATGCACGCAGCTGGTCGAGTGCTTGCCTAGTATACATTGAACTCCAGGTTGGATTCCCAGCACCATACAAACCATTGTGCCAGCTTACACTTATAATCCCAGCACTTGGGAATAGAAGTAAGAGATCAAGAATTCAAAATCTTCTTCCTCTATGTACTGAATCTGAGGCCAGTCCAGAGTACATGAGATTCTGAGCAAATAAATAAATTCCAGGAAGGAGAAAAAAAAGAAAACTAAAACATTATTGACATTGATTAAATCAAAGACAGAAAGGCTGATATGAAATTGGTGTGTTTGTACCTATAATACCTTGCTTTACTCCTCAGTAAAGTGAAGATAAATTATAAAATAAACTTGGACTAGATATTATTTGCATTTTAGCACACTGGCTAGAGTAGCTTGTAAGGTCTTGTTTGGTTTGTTTTTCCCATCAACCTAAGGTCATTGTAAGGATAGAGGAATTAATGTCGGTAACATGATTGGGGATCCCCAGATAAAAGGTTAAGTGGGTCCAAAGCAGAAGTAACTCGGCTCCAAGTTACAGCTAAACTGGAAGGAGCAGCGAGCTTGCCTATTTATTTGTAATGACTGGGGGACTCAAGGACTCTCCGGGATTCTACATCCATCATAGTCCACAAATACCCCTGCCTCTCATTTCCCCTTTTGATGTCTTAGTTCCCGTTCAGGTCAGCAGAGCGGAGAGGGTAGTGAGAGATCACGAAGAGCAGGATAGGAGAACAGGATCTGCAGGAGGAAATGACCACTCAGGCTATTTTGGCTTTGGTTTATTCCTGGCAGCTCAGGAGAAAGATTCCCCTGCCCAGACGTTTGATTGCCAGTCTACACATTTCCAGGGCTCGTTTCTTCCAGTTAGCCCATGGAGATCAATGGGAAAGGAGGGCGAGCTTCTGGTTGGAACCCATTTAGATTGTGTTCTCTAAGGCCTGGCATTTGTTTCCCACTCTTACAATGCCCCAGACCTTGACCTGCTCACTACCTGAACTTTTTTACTTTGGTTTATATTTATTCACTGCTCATAGCTGGCTCTCATTCTCTTCTTATTACCATCAGTGTCACTTGCCATCTGGAGAGGGCAGGAACTGTGTTTATCTCTTTCTCCTGTGTAACAGCCTATAAAATGATAGCCACCGCAGGAGACACACGGGGTCAGAGTCTAGTAAACACCAGCAG